TTCCCTGTCGCTAGGTGGGTGAAACAGGGTTGAGTAGTGGAAAGAGCTGCTTCTCTGTTCTATTTCTCCAGCCAGTTATGTAAGGCAGTCAGTATCTCTGGGTCTGCATGTACTTGTATGAAAGCTATTGATAAAGTTAATTTCTAAAGGCCCTTTCAGCTCTAAGACTCTGATTCAGTGGACACTCGTTGAATTAAGCCTCACAATCTCTATAATCAAAAGAAATTCTTCTAATCCTGACTGAAGGGAATGGGGATGAACACAATCATAGACTGTGATTGCATACTGAGAAAGCTGCAAAGTACTACAGAGGTACTGAGCATAATAAGCGGTAGGGAGCAGGAGAACAATATATATGATCATGTACCATACAAGTATGTTGAAAACTAAAAAGCATCCCCAAAATATTAATACTATCAAAGTTCAGCAACGTAAAGTCTGAGTTGTTAAGAATTCTGAATCTTCAGTCTTGCTCATTACTTTCTACGATTCCAATACTTTTGGAGGCTGGGTGTGTCTGGAGATGGGCTCGCTTGGCATCTCTGTTTTGTCTGGGATTCTCTCTAACCACTTAGAGCAGGCAAAAAATTTAAAAAAGCCCTGATGGCTCAATGATTAAGCCCTTGGCTGCTAACCAGAAGGTTAGCAGTTTGAACCCACCAGTGGCTCCGCGAGAGAAAGACCTGGTGATCTGCTCTCATGAAGATTGTAGCCTAGGAAACCCTGTGGGGCAGTTCTACTCTGTCACATGGGGTTGCTCTGTGAGTTAGAATTGACTCAACGACCCACAACAACGACAATGTCAACAGAGTAGATGAAGGCAGAGTAAGCAGTCTGACCTGGTAAACCTGTCCATTCCCCACAACAGTATACTTTTAATATCATATTTACTACCAGCATCTCACTTTTTCACTGTAAAATAGCTTTCAGAATAAGAACACCGTGCAATGATGATATTGAAGAACAAAAAGTACACAGTATACTTGGGATTTATAAAAGCAGGGAGGGGTTCAAGTAAAAAAAATCTTTTACTACCTGAATGACCTTTAGCAAACTAATTTAGTCTGCCTGAGCTTCAGTTTCTTATCTCTAAAATAAAGCATCTCACATGGTTGCTAGTAGGGGGATAAAATTAGATAAAAT